CAGCTAATAATATTGAGTACTCATTATGTGCCAGGCCCTAGACTGAGTGTTGTTGATGTTAACTCACTTCCTTCCAACCCTATAAAGTAGGTAAGCTTCTTACCTGGCAAATGAAGGAGCCAGAATTCAGTGAAGTGAATTTTACCTCCTCCCTTGGCCCTTCATGGTACCCAGGCTGGAAACAGGGTAGTTTTTTGGTTTTTGTTTCTTTTTGCTTTTTTAATTAAAAAAAAAAAAAGGTAACATAGCATAACTTAAGAGTGGGAGGACATTCTAGTTAACAGCCCAGCCTCTCCACCAAGCCCACCCGAGGTATTTCATGAGCAGAGTGACCACTGTATCTGAGGGCATCACTGTTTCTAAATCAACTGCTGCTTACTTTCCCCCATTTACCTGCTTTCCTGAAAATCAAACATCTATGCCTCTTAGCAAAGCCCCCCAAAACTGTGGGCACTTGGAACAACAGCCCCTATTTCCATGCCTTAGAATTATGGTTCTCAAACCTTGGTGTAGAAAGGCGTAACCTAAGGCACTTGTTAAAATGCGTATTTCTGGGTCCTTTCCTCAGAGCCTGATTCAGGGGGTTGAGTGTGGAGCCCCATGTCATATCACAGCAGGCTATTTCCCATGCCAGTGGTGGACACACCTGATGACATGATCCTTCGTGTCTGAAACACAGTCATCATGCCAGCATATCTCCATGGCTGCACTGATAAATGGGTGGCTATTGATTTGAAGTAAATAATTTTGCCAGCATTTCTTATCATTTTTGAAAAGTGAATGACTCCATGCTGGTTTAATTTCATAAATATTGTCACAGTTTGATCAGTTGGCAATATCTTCAGGCCTGGAGATCTCTTGTCCTAGGATCTTTGAATATTCACTTAGGTCATTTATTCTTTAAGATGTTACCACTAGTCAACTCTAATAAAGGAATGTGCTCATGCACAAACTCCTCCTAAAAAGAAAACTCACATCAAAATCATGTACGTGAATGTTGTATTTTGATGTGTTCTGTGCAGCACCCGAACAGATATGCTAGTCTAAATCCTTTATTTAAGGCAAGGACACCAGAACCTAAAAAAGTGAAGTGTCTTATCCAAGTCCATACGGACAGAAGAGCCAAGAGTGCCTCCTTAATGAGGCTTCTCCCACTACTACACCAGGAAGCTCTGTCCCCTCTGGGCCCTTGTACTCAAGAAGTCTCAGGTGCTGAGGGGAAGCTGGGGGGAGTACTACGCCTCCATAAATAGTCTGGACTCCAGCTGTAATCACTGTTGGCACTGGGTCCTGAGCACAAATGGCTTGAGAGCTGACCAGGCGGCCCCCAAACCAGGCTGAGTCAAGAAAAAGTCCAATCGTCTGGGATTTGTCATCTGTTCTAGATAATACGTAAACCCTATGTGTGACCTGCAAGACTGTAAGAATTATCCTTTGGCAGAAGAGATGTTTAAGTTTTAGTCTATATATATATATAGCTACAAAGTTTGAGAGATTCAGGTAAAGAGTAACTTCTGGAGGAAAGGGGAGTGTGTTGACCCAGTCCTGCATGTTGACGGGGTGATTCATCCAAGGTTAAATACACTGAACTTGAGACAGGTCAGCAGAGAACATACACCCTGACTCTGTGGTGTGTGGTTTAATTCCAGCTATGATGCCTCCCAAAAGCAGCTTCCCTGTTATTGATATACAGTCATAGGTACCTAGGAGGCAGGATCAAAAGTCTAAGACTGTATGACTAAAATTGATTAAAATTCAAGGTAGGTATTTAAAAGCAAAATTTCTTATTAGGAACCTGGCCTGGAACATATATGAAGGAAAACATATATCATATTATATAATCAACATGTCTTAGTTTTGCCAATCATAGGAGAAACATGATTCATATATATAGTTAATGGGCCAAGTTCTGAATATGATTACAACATAGTAGTTATGTTTTGGATTTTACTTTGGGGAATGGCATTAGGTTGGCTTCTACCTGGTTTAGCCACAGCAGGTTACGGGCTTAGTGTTCAAGATAGGACTTGGCAATAAAATGTTTCCACATTTTTTTAAAACATACCTTTTGAATTAGAAAGACAAAAAGGCCTGCTGTATGGCCCAGGTAAATAAAACATATACCAGACTCAGGTTTGCCTAAAACATGTTCTGTTTATGTGAGAAGCTAGTCTCTTTGGCTACTAATTTTTAGGGAAATCCAGAGAAAGGCATCTGAAAACAGGAAACTGTTATTATAAGAATTCTCATGTGATCCATTAATAGACTACTGAAAAATGGCTTAAGGGAGAGGAAATCCCTGGAGACCCAGGTGCACCCTGTAATTCAGGCAAAAGGAATGGTTTGGGTGTTCAGGGTCTCTGGGCCCAGGAATATTTGATTTTATACCTCAACCCCTTCTGGTGCAGTGGCAGAAACCTCCAGAAAGTCCACAGGTTGAAGGACAGGACACCCAGGAAGCCCAGTGTGCTGTGCACCACACACCAGGGAGCTAAGTGTGTGTGTGCGGTGGAGCAGCACCAGGTCACCTGCCCCTACAGCGTGGGGAGGGTATCCACCACTCTGCTGGCCCTGACTAACGTGGCCATCAGTTCACCACCAGCTGGTGTCAGCAGCCATGTCAGCACAGAAAAAGGTCTCAGGTGTTCTTTGGTGGTAGCTGAGCTGTAAGCTGCTTTCTCCTGCCTTGGACTCTGTTCTTTTACTTTCCTTGCTCAGCTGTCTGTCCTTGAAAAGGCAAAGCAAAATGACTTCATTTCTTTGAGGCTGCTGCTACTAATAACTCTTAATAATGTAGTGCAAGAGACCATCAAGATTTGTCTCGCTTGGCTTTTACTAACTGGTCTCTGCCATCGTCCTGACTGGGCTGCAGTGTGTTATCTGAAAGGATGAAGCAGCACAGACCCAGGAGGGCAGGCCAGCAAACTGACTGCCTGCACCTTTAGGCTTTGCTCTTACTGATATAGGAACAAGTGTTCTGCAAGAACATGGTGCAAGTTTCTGAATAGAAGGAACCTGAAATGAACTAACAGGAAAGGAAAAATTTAACATTCCTGGGAGGGCCAGTGAGGTATGGTCTGAAATGGGCTCTAGAATCAAACAGATTTGGTTTTAAAATCCTTGTTCTGTTGATCAACACCCTGTCCAAGAATCATAATGATATAACGTCACAGTTTCCCATGTCATAAAAGGGAAATAACATCCACTCCATAAGACTGATAAGGGGTTGGAATGAGAATATATGTGTAAGGTGGAGTATAGTGCCTGATACAAACTTATCAGTGTTCACCTTTAATTATAAAGTAGTAACTAAAACCCACTTTCCATCACAGAGGTCAGAAGAGATGAGCCTTCAAGGTTAACCGGCTCCCTTTCAGAAAGAGATACTGCAGATGCAGTAACTTCTGAGCAGCCTCAACAACCTTCTCACCCACTGTAAAGCATGAAAATCTACAGGCTGATATCAACTTAAATGCTTTATGTATTGTCCCCACTGGAAATTTACTAAAGGATAGTGGCAACAAAATAGCAACAGAGAGGAGAAAGTAGTCCAGATATACGTCATGCTCAAAGTGCCAGGGACTGCTGGAAGACTAGAGTAGACAAGACACCATGTAATAATACCAAGCCTGCCATTACTGGCTTTGCAAATGTGAGTTCAGTTTGACAGTTATCAACATCTACTACAAACCTACTGTGCAAGGTATTGGCAAAGGTAACTAAAAGGACTTTGATATCAGAAGCTAGGCAATTACAAAGAAAAGAAATTGAGTATCTTGCAAATTCTGTATACATGCTTAATAAAGGGTGCTATTTCAGATCCTACCTGAATTTTAATAAACTAATCTAGCCAAATTTATTCACATTGCATTTACAAAGCAACAAAAAGCTACTCTTGCTTTGTACCAAGAAACAAAAGCACTTTACATGTTATATTTGAACAGCACTCTGAAGTGGGCATCAGTATCCCCATTTCACAGATTAGGAAATAGAGGTTCAGAGAAATTAAGTAAACTACTGAGCTATTATTAACAACATTTGGTTGCTAAGGCAGAAATTGAAACCCTCTGGCCCAAATATGCTCTAAACCCCTGTGCTGTACTCATGAAGGAGTATAAATCATGCTTGTCCTATGGATCATGACTTTTCCTATCTTCAGGAACAGATTCATTCAGGATAATTGGTGATGAGCTTAGAGGATGGTCATTGGTATGCATGGCACAGTGCAAGATGACACAATGAACAAGCATTTGCCTTGAAGGCAGGAGGCCTGAGCTCAAGTCCTAACATTGCTTATCATGTGATGCGGCTCCTGTTACTTATCATCTCTAAGCCTAGTGTTCTAGCCAGTGCAGCTTCCTCCCCTCATAGGATTGTCAGTCAACGTGGTGATGCAGGTGAGTCTGCTTTCCTATTCATAAGGCTCCAGGCAAATGCCAGCTACTATTATAGCTCACTTAGTTTCAATTCCACCATCAACTTGCTCTTGAAACTGGAAATATCTCCTGATACCTTAACTTTCTCCTCCTTAAACCAGAGCTGGTGATACAGCACCTTTTAGTAATATCCTCCAGCAGCCTTCTCAAACTTCAGTGACGAATCTTCTGGGATGTTGTTAAAACAGATTCCTGGGCCCCAGTGATTCTGACCTGGCACAGCTGGGTGTAATAGTCACTCTTATGGACGCCAGGTGGTTATGATGAAGATGGCCTGTGATCGCTCTAGGAGCCGCAGGCTCCATACTATCACAGAGACCGGTGGTGACTGTGGGGCAAGCACTTGACCAAGGTCACCTGTCAGTCAGTAACACAGCCCAACTGAACGTCGCCTCCTGATGGCTAGATCTGTTCTGCCCACAGGACGAGGGGCCAAGAGAACATCAAAGTGCCCCTCCCCCAGGTTGCTGGGTTTTCAGCAGGGGACTGATGTACACAGCTGAAGCTCCCAGCACAGCACAGACGTCTTTATAATACTGTCACTGCCTTTCTCTTCTCCCACAGACACGTTCGCCAGCAAAGTGGCAGCCACCCAGGACCAGTACGCAGATGCATCCATAGGGAATGTCACCGGCAGCAACGCGGTGAATGTCTTCCTGGGAATCGGCGTGGCCTGGTCCATCGCGGCCATCTACCACGCAGCCAACGGGGAACAGTTCAAAGTGTCCCCTGGCACGCTAGCTTTCTCTGTCACTCTCTTCACCATTTTTGCTTTCATCAATGTGGGGGTGCTGCTGTATCGGCGGAGGCCAGAAATTGGAGGTGAGCTGGGTGGGCCCCGGACTGCCAAGCTCCTCACATCCTCCCTCTTTGTGCTCCTGTGGCTCTTGTACATTTTCTTCTCCTCCCTGGAGGCCTACTGCCACATAAAAGGCTTCTAAAGGAACAATCAGATGTAGTAAATTTATATATATATATATATACATATATATATATACACACATAAAATTATGTATAATGAACAGATGAAACTGATATTAGTCATGTTCACTTACCTACTGATGGAATCCAGCTTCAAGAGCATACTCTGTACAAGGGCGCAAGTGAGAAACCATCACCTCCCATTCCCAGGGGCGTCGTCACATTGAACGAGACGTGGAGGCAGGGCCATCTTCGCGGCTCAGACCAGAAGGACTGTGTGCTTTCCAGGTTCATAGATTATTAAATCTTTGTTTTCTCTTTTTGTTTGTTTTCAGGGAGGGGTTGGGAGGTGGTTCATGTTTGGCTTTTATATTGTTTTGTTTTGTTTGGTTGAGAGGGTCAGGGTTTTTGCTTCTCTCGGAGGTGATGACCAATCTAAATGCAAATGGGTTTTTGGTAAAAATTTGGTAAAGATTAAGATTACTCTCTCTTCATCCACTTTAAAGATTATTTTGGATTAAGCAAGCATATAGGCATGGAAGCAGCAGCATGTCTTCACTTTATTACTAAATTTCATGCTTATCTCTGGAATGTGAGCAGAGGTGAAACTGCCTCCACGAAGCGTGGGAGCTCAAGTGGAGCCCGGATGTGATGGCTCCAGATGCAGTCTGATGTTTAAAGATATGATGCCTGGCACTCTTGTTCAACAGGGACAAGAACAATGTGCCTAGATTCCCAGGAACATGAAAAATCCTTTATTTCCTATCTCTTTAGCTCTGGACTGTGATTAGTGAGGCCCCTATTCTGGTGGCCCATCCCAACCATCTTCCTTCCGCCCACCACCCCTCATGCAAACAGGAAGAATAACCCCTACATTCAAGCAGCACATCATCCTTTGTCATTCACATCCGTACATGTCCCAGTCCCGTGTTGCTGTTGCCAGGGATCGTTCATGGGTTTTATTTTCAGAAGTACCCCTGGCTCGCACAGTCCTGTTGCAGTCATGGCTGAACACCTGCTCCTTCATGTGCTTGTTCGGGAATGTTGTGTGACACCTGTTACACAGTGCATGGATGAAAACAAATACAGCGTATCTGTATATAGAGTAGAGTATAGCATATACTGTTCTCCCATTCAGCAATGTTGACTGGACATTGAAGACCTATGTGAGTTTTATTTTCACCTGAGATGTAATTTCTGTGTTGTTACTGAGTTTGGTTTTACGAGGGATCAGAGGAGACAATGGCTTATTGTTCATGGATCTGCACATTCATTTCTAAGAAGCAATAACTGGTATGTGGGAAGTAAAAGCTATTGAGAGGACAGCAGGCAAACTACAAAGTGTCATGAAAAGTTAGTCATGTGAAACACACCATTGGCCTCTAAAAATTGCCTGTTGATTCGGGAAGGCCAAGGAGAAAGGTAGGGCCTGGGCTTCAGCAGCCTCCATTTCCACAACACCCCTGCCCCCAGAGTATTTATTTCACGTCTGCTCTGTCTGGCACAGATGGTAGATAGTGCTGGTTTGTTTTATTTTATTTTTTTTGTAAAAGGCTATTTTGAGCCCAGTTTCTTCCACCATCCAGACCCTTCTGATTGTATCTGCAGTTCCTGAGTAGGAAAGAAGCCAGGGTGACCAATGGGCCTTTATAAAAGTGCATCTTCTGTACTTATGACTAAGGTGTAAGCAATTAATGAGACAATTAGTGCCTCCTTGGAGGATTGCTCTGGAAGGTTTTTAACCCTGGAGAAGAAATGGCTCTATTTCAAAACACCAAAGAGTGTGGATAAACCCAACATTCCAAAGTAGTGAGTCCACTGAGGAAAAATGGAATGACTTTGGTCTTCTCTCAGACACTTCTCTATAAAGAATCTGGGGACACCACTGACCCTCTGTGCTAATTCGAGATTTTTCAGAAATAAAAGCTGTAGAGAGTTACTTTTTCTTCTTCTAATCAGTAATCATGATCATTTGTCATTTAATAACTGAATAATTAAATAATGGTTTTCCACTCAATATGCCAGGTACTCTACTACTCTTGGGGACTCAACTATGAATGAGACAGCCTGGATCCCTAGCACACAGGAGTTCTCAGCTAATGTTATTACTATTTGATTACTATTTGCATGGTTAAAGTTAACACAGCCACAAGGAAATGTTTTTGTCTCGCAAGCAAAGACGTAGTTATCAAACTCAACACACTGAAACTGTAGAAATACAATCATTCAAATAGCTAGGATTGTCTTTAGCTACAAGTATAGAAAGCATAGGCTAGGAAAGCATCCAGTGCATCCTTGGGCAATCTGGCAGCTAGGTCCATCTCCCCGTTTTTAGCCAAGGGAGGCAATCATGTGGGTGATCCATTAGATCACTGTGAAGGCCCAATTAATTCCAGTTTTCATCTCTGTTGGACAACAGGACTTTTCTGTGGCCCACACCACTACAATTCCTCATATGTCCTGGAGACTCACGCACCCTAACAGGTCATCGCCCAGCAGTGGTGGCCTAACTCCTTGGGGGCACATTCTTACCCACCTTTTTTTTGGAAGATATACTAAATGGAAAACTAGCCTACAAACACCATGTAAATAACAGTCAAAGGATGTGAACTGTTTAAACATTAGAAAGATTTTGCACTCAATTTTAGCCATATTTGGAATGTCAGTAAACCCATAGCAAATTTTCACAGAGGACTTTAATTCTTGCCATTGAATTTTAATTTCAAAGCTTTTGTTTTGTTTGCATTTTTAATGTTCATGTTATAGGGAAAATATGATTCTGGTTGTTCAGGGTTATGAATAGAGTTGTGTAATATTTCATTTTATTTCATTTTGTGTGTATTATGCACAGCTTTAGGGGGGAAGGTGCACTAATTGTGCTGTTCCTTTTAAATGGTACACATTATTGGCACAAATAAAGTTTCTAATTGTTTCTGATTTTATCACTAGTGATATGGCATATTCTGTATGGAATGTTTTCTCTCATTGTCATCTATTTCATTTTTTTGTTTTCATATTTTGAAGAAATAAAGACCAAAATGATATTTTTTGTGCAGTCAGTATCCTCAACCAAAAGAAAGCAAATAGATACTAAGTATTCAAACTCTTTCAAAGGTCAACCCTTTGGTCATGCAACATTTCCTTTTTAATGTTCCCAGAGAGCAGAGTGTCAGAATATGTGTTGATCCAGCAGTACTGAGATTAATGTTGGATGTCTCTCCATTTCACTCTTCTTTTCCCCCACATCTTTTAGTACATTATCTACATTCTTCTTGCATCCAAGAACATGAACCCACAAACAGTTACACATCAGACCACTTTCCTGCATGGTGTTACACCAAATCAGTCAATCCCAAGAACATTGTCAGAGGTGTGTAACTAGTTACTTCCCAAGGCATACCTAAGTAAATTGTACTTTTAGTATTTCATACTGTATTCCTCTTGATTTCCAATATAACTTCTGCCTTGCATTATTTCTGATTGTATATTTATATCATTTTCCTATGTCATAATAATCAGAACAGGAAGAGCTAACACCGGAAATAAGTATTTGTGGGGGAAAAATGTGACGTCTAGTTTGTATACTTATTTGCAAGTCTATGTTAATATCAATGGATTTATTCTTACTACAACACAGTCCACTGTGTACATGTAAATGATACTTTCTTCATTTGATCTTTAAAATTTTCCTTTAGAGTTCCTCAGTATACCCACACAAGGAAATGTTTTTGTCTCGCAAGCAAAGACGTAGTTATCAAACTCAACACACTGAAACTGTAGAAATACAATCATTCAAATAGCTAGGATTGTCTTTAGCTACAAGTATAGAAAGCATAGGCTAGGAAAGCATCCAGTGCATCCTTGGGCAATCTGGCAGCTAGGTCCATCTCCCCGTTTTTAGCCAAGGGAGGCAATCATGTGGGTGATCCATTAGATCACTGTGAAGGCCCAATTAATTCCAGTTTTCATCTCTGTTGGACAACAGGACTTTTCTGTGGCCCACACCACTACAATTCCTCATATGTCCTGGAGACTCACGCACCCTAACAGGTCATCGCCCAGCAGTGGTGGCCTAACTCCTTGGGGGCACATTCTTACCCACCTTTTTTTTGGAAGATATACTAAATGGAAAACTAGCCTAGAAACACCATGTAAATAACAGTCAAAGGATGTGAACTGTTTAAACATTAGAAAGATTTTGCACTCAATTTTAGCCATATTTGGAATGTCAGTAAACCCATAGCAAATTTTCACAGAGGACTTTAATTCTTGCCATTGAATTTTAATTTCAAAGCTTTTGTTTTGTTTGCATTTTTAATGTTCATGTTATAGGGAAAATATGATTCTGGTTGTTCAGGGTTATGAATAGAGTTGTGTAATATTTCATTTTATTTCATTTTGTGTGTATTATGCACAGCTTTAGGGGGGAAGGTGCACTAATTGTGCTGTTCCTTTTAAATGGTACACATTATTGGCACAAATAAAGTTTCTAATTGTTTCTGATTTTATCACTAGTGATATGGCATATTCTGTATGGAATGTTTTCTCTCATTGTCATCTATTTCATTTTTTTGTTTTCATATTTTGAAGAAATAAAGACCAAAATGATATTTTTTGTGCAGTCAGTATCCTCAACCAAAAGAAAGCAAATAGATACTAAGTATTCAAACTCTTTCAAAGGTCAACCCTTTGGTCATGCAACATTTCCTTTTTAATGTTCCCAGAGAGCAGAGTGTCAGAATATGTGTTGATCCAGCAGTACTGAGATTAATGTTGGATGTCTCTCCATTTCACTCTTCTTTTCCCCCACATCTTTTAGTACATTATCTACATTCTTCTTGCATCCAAGAACATGAACCCACAAACAGTTACACATCAGACCACTTTCCTGCATGGTGTTACACCAAATCAGTCAATCCCAAGAACATTGTCAGAGGTGTGTAACTAGTTACTTCCCAAGGCATACCTAAGTAAATTGTACTTTTAGTATTTCATACTGTATTCCTCTTGATTTCCAATATAACTTCTGCCTTGCATTATTTCTGATTGTATATTTATATCATTTTCCTATGTCATAATAATCAGAACAGGAAGAGCTAACACCGGAAATAAGTATTTGTGGGGGAAAAATGTGACCTCTAGTTTGTATACTTATTTGCAAGTCTATGTTAATATCAATGGATTTATTCTTACTACAACACAGTCCACTGTGTACATGTAAATGATACTTTCTTCATTTGATCTTTAAAATTTTCCTTTAGAGTTCCTCAGTATACCCATACATGGTTATGTGTGGCACATTCACATGTGAAGGAAATAAGGTACAATTTAAATTTTTCTTAAACAATATGTCTCCTGGATACTAATCTTTGGTTTAACACAAAATGAGCAGCCAACATTTACTTCTTTAAACAGCAAAAAGAGTAATTCAATGACCAGAGTACACTTGACTGTTTAACAACTCTTTGGCAAAATGCCATGGCTCAGTGATTTTCAACCTCGTTTAAGCTAGTTTTAATTCTTAGAAGGATTCTAATTCAAGCCTCCCACCAGTGAAGATTTTACAGAGCTTTGTTTTGCATGGTTCACAGCATAAACACACTATGATTTTTCTTATTGTTTTTCAAAGGAAAGGTTACAAAAGATGTTATTTTAAACAACCCTGAGGCTATTCTGATAGGTGGATCTCACCCACAGTGAAAATCCCTAAGGTGGCCCCTTTCCCAGTGGTCTATTAAAGCTCACTGCCCACACTGCCTTTTCCATACAGGGCTTGATTCGTTGTCAATACCACAGCCGAGGTCCTCTGATACTCACCTGTCTAAACGAAAGTGAGATTGACTAGTTTGCTCTGCATATATCTGAGAACTTTGTGGAAGCAATTAGAACAAATTAATTTCCTCTGGTAGATAATGAGGCCCTCTGTTCTCTAATAGTGACAAAACTTCACCATCTCAAGAAGGTACACCAGCCCCTTTTTGACTTCTTCCTGTGTTTCCTGGCTCAAGATGTGGAGTCTCACTTTTGATTCTTTTTTGCTGTCTCTGACCTCCGACAGCTGCCTCCAGAACAAGTCTTGTGTATAGTTTCATAACTCCAAGAATGCTTGGCCATTTCATGATTGGTGATGTTTGGCACTGGATTCTCACCCTGACCTACATTTGGCATTTGGCTTTTGTTGTAGTAATCACTTCACTTGGCCACCACCTCCCAGCTGTTGTAAAATTGGGCATTCAATTGATAAACAAGTGAGTGCATTATGAAGAGAAATGCAGAATCAGAGTTATCTTATATATAGAGAAAGATGTTATGAGTAGACTCATTAGCTTTTGTGCAGTTTTACCTACAGATTTTTGTTAACAGACTGCATTTATGCTCTTTTTCAACCATTACATTCTTACCACTTCTAGCCCTGTTCACTGCCTTCCACCCAGCATGCTTCAAGCACTGGGTGGTGCCAATGGCATTCCACCTACAGGATAACACAGGACGGGGAAACAATTGTAGTAGATATTTCATTTCCAGAGCTTGATCAGGCCACGGTCAATCATCTCCCAAAGCAAAGAATGTCTTATCTATAAACGAAGCAACCACTGAGTTGGCACTCCCAAGGGAAACAGTACTTCAGCTTTCCAGCCCACAGGACATGGTGAGCATATAGCTTTCTGTCACTTTTTCCCTACATGACAAAATGCCCAAAAAGATGTCCTCAGGAGCTCTACTAATTTTGTTTTGTCAAAGGTCCCCAATTTAATTTCCTAAGGGACCTTTAAATCAGTGACCATTGTGTAATTTATTATTTTGATTCTTTCTAGGGAAGAATGTTACTTCATAACTTCAAAAAGCAACATGACTTTGTAGGTAAAACTATAGCCCATAGCTTTCCAGGAAGACTTGTCTGCCCAGAATCTCCTGGTCCATCTGTAATCAATGCACTACTTGACACCTGCTTCAGTTGCTCACATTCCTTAGAATCATGCTGTTCTAACCTTTTCTCAAAGACCCAGAGAGGTATCCCCTTTGGCATATGCAATCTCCATCTTTCTTTTCTCTAATTCTGACCTTTGTAGTTATTCCTTGACTATTCCAATCATATTCACTGCCCTTGGTAATGCTCACCATCACCTCTCAGCAATGGGGAAAAGGCTTATGAAAAAGTACTCTGGGCATGTTTTTCTGAAAATGAATTTTTCAGAGAAAAAGAAAATATAATGACATTCCACCTAGAAAACAGTTGTTAGATCATAGTATAGTATCTCTAGAAATGTTTAAGACAAATTGTACCCTACAGCTACACGCTACAGCAGCATTGTTGATTTTATTCCTCTATTGATCACATTTTTATGCTTCAGTGCCTTTTATTCTATCAATATACATAGATATGGATTGGAAATTAGGAGCCCCCCACCCCCACTCCCTACACACACACGCACACACCCAACTCCTGTGAAAGTTTCTACAAAGGTGAAGTATATAAACATAGAAAGCTACTTCCATAACTCCAAGAAATACAAGTGGGTCAAATGCTTCTCTGTATTATATTCTTGCTTTGCAAATGGCAGGAAAATCTGCATGTAATAACCAAACACATCAAAAAAGAAATTAACTTCAATGTTACTAAGTTGATTTTGACAGTTGATGCACAGCATAACCCTCTTAACTTGATGATTTCAAGGACAGATCTTTCTAGCCAAATCCAAGAGCTCTTCTGGGGGAGAGTGGGGAATTAATTTACTAGAATCACTATGCAGTCCTCTGTACTGGAAATTGTTTATTCACCTAGAAGGATCTACAGAGATTGTTTCCCAGAGCTTTTCCCTAAATTCCCAAGTTGAAATAAGCTACTTTTAATTACAGAACTTTTTATTAGATTCCTTGAAGCCACATGGTAGAAAAACAGATATATTTTTTTAGGAGATTTTTCCTAAAAATGTGGTTCTAGGTTTGCAATGACCCATTCTCTAAAGCAAAGATCCCATTCTTTCCAAGTGGAAGGAAAAATTCTGTTAAATAACTAAATATATAACCACTTTTCAAAATATTT